GATCTGGAGCATTTGTTGTCGGGGAAAGTTTCAAGTGGCAGTCTTATTGCAGAGCTTATTGTTTTGAGAGAGGACTTCCAAGAGAAAAAGTTGGTGAAGAGCATGACAGTCCGTGAAATTGCAAAGTTCGTATATAGTCGAAGGCACATTTATCCGGCAAGCAACACAGCATATACATTCCTTCAAACAGCACCAATAACTGTGGCTTCAAATGAAAGATCTTTTAGCAAACTAAAGTTGGTGAAGACTAAGCTGCGGAGCACAATGCTCCAGGACCGCCTGGAATCTCTGATGCTGATATCATGCGAGAAGGATTTCTCTGAAAATGTCAACTTGGAAGATGTTGTCAAGAACTGGATACACTTAAAAAACAGAAGAGTTCGATTTGACACTACTTAAAGTTAATTTATTCATATATTGCGCTATAAGAACTGAAAAAGAGGCTGGGTCAAAAGCTCCTAATTAAACGACTCGCAAAAATCTGAGGGTTATTTTTTGACCCACCATTGACTCTGTATTTTTATTAGAACGTGCTGTATTTGGTTGAAACGCTTTTTTCAGATTGAAGTTAAAATTAAAGTTCTTTCGTTAAAGTTAAATTTCTTAAATTAAAGTTAGTGTAAGTCATTTAGTTGTTAGTTCTGATCACGATTAGTTGAGCTCAAAATTTTTGGTATTGTTTTTTCTAAAATTACTCGGTACATAAGAGCTTACACCCCCCAAGAAAATTTCCTGAAACCGGCCCTGACACTGTCCCGTGCAAGTTTGGAACCGTGACAAAACTGTCGCGGTTCGCCCTTGCGTTTACACTAGCACTGTGGAACCGTGACGATTTTGCTCTGCTATCCGGAACAGTTTTGACCCTGCTTTGAAAGCGAACGAATTTTGTACCGTCACGGTTCCGTTTTTGAACGGGACAGTGTAAACACCTATCCGAGACGATTTTGTCACGGATTCACAAAGAGGTCTTTTGTATGGCTGTTTCAGGTAATCGAGGCTTTGATTGTGGCGTAACTACGTTCTCAAATTCTGAAGAAAAGGGAATTCTGAAGAAAAGACGACCACAGAAAAGGCTTGTAGTGTTTCCCAGTCCAAGCCTTGATTGGACTTGGCAGTTTTGTAGTCTAAAATAACACTGAAAATTAAAGCCACCTTGTCTTTCGTCCAAGTAAAGTTTTAATCGGCCTTCCGCTCCATTTTAACTCACAATAAAAATTCGATTGTTGACTTCAGCGGCAAAATAAAAGCCTTGGTTGACTAAATATAGCTTCTTCTAAACAATGTTCTACCATTAAATTAAGGTCGTACCGGTACAGTGTAAACGGAACGGCTAAACGGAACAATTTGGAACCGCGACAGTGTAAACACTTGCGAACCGTAACGGTACAAAATTGTCCCGGGACAGTGTAAATGGGGTCTTAGTCAGGCGATAAAAAGCCCCGTTTGTTACTAGACACGACTTTTGAATAAAGTTGGACAGATTTTCTTTTTAATACAAAACGCAGGAGTTTTAGCACTTCACGTTTTAGCACATACAAAATCAAGATGCCTTCGAGTTCTTAGTTGAAATGCAAAATTAAATAGCCTGTCACAGGACGTTTAAAAATTTTTATCCTTTATCATTCCAAGCGCAGACTTGACTTTTAAGGGATATTTGATGGTCCAAGGAAAGAGCCAGGGCCTATTTCAAGAAATTTTCAATACTGCACATTTTTAAGAAATTTTCAATACTGCACATTTATAATCATATTTTTTATAGGAAATTTTTTGTTGTTGCAATCAGTGCAAACCCCTGCAAACCCCAGGTATCTTAGCCATGCAAGTGTAGCGAATAAACTGCCCGAATTTTGAACACGTGTATAGGCCATGACGGAGAAATCACAAACAGACATCTCTTCTACATAATAGAAACATAGTAATTTATCTCTTGTAAACGGAGTCACTATCTCATGTTTTGTCTGGACAGTAAAACAAAAAAGTTTTATTTCGTTCTTTTTTTCCTTTAATTAAGTTAAGTGAGCTTCTGCTCGATGCCCAGAGCATCATAGGGCAACTGATAAATTATTACTGAATGTTTTATCTTCGACAAGATCAAATTACGAAATTTACAGCAATGCTGACATTTACAGGAGATGTTTTGTTTTTGGTTCTGGGCATTTCGCTTTGTTTTAAGTTTTGATAAGAGAGTGTTTCCGATGGTTATACGAGAATTACAATACATGAACTCTATATCGAAGTGGCGAGAAAAATTCACATTTTTTGAACAAAGCAGGAATCTGGGATAGCCGCAAAAAGACATTTTCACAAATCCCAAAATTCAATACTGTACATTTTGGAAATCAATACTGTACGTTATTAAATTAATACTGAACAAAGTGTGTAATACTGCACACTAAAATAGGCCCTGGAAAGAGCATTATCATTCAAGAAAGGAACATGCACAAATTACATAACAAATTATAGGCAACATTGGAAAAATCCTCTTCCCCCTAAATTATCATCTAATTTGCATCATTTATTGATCATTATGACCGTAAAAATTTGTGTGAACCCCCTCCCTCCATCTTTGATTAGGTAATATGTGAACGATCCCATACCCAACTGCTAATGCATCGATAATCTTATCCAGACACAACCATTCTGAATGGAAAGAACATAGGATTGTACTCAGTTAATGCTTCAAAAGTGAGAACCCTCTCAGCTATTCGATATCTGGCATTTGAAATAATTCGCATTAGTCATAAGTGAAGAAACTAATTTGCGTTAGTCATAACTCTTGGTTAATCATAAGTCTTGGGCGTTTTTGAAGGTATCGGAAAACTGTTCAATAAATTGTACAATTATGATGAATTGGCGAAAAACTGGTGGAAATTTGATACATCATTGATACAGTTTTTATCAATTTAATGGTGAAGCTAACTAAGCTGTAAAATCTATGACGCCGAAAACATAACCACGGCGAACTTTTTATGCAAACGTTCTTTCGAGAGCTCAATTGATGGTTGTAATCAATTTTAGTTCTGTGCGAATATTAATAATTGCCTTTCGAAAGTTTTCAAGTTTTTTGAAAAATATAGCTCGAAGCAAGGGCGTACCGGGAAATTTCGCCGTGTCCTGGTGGGCCGAGGAGCGATGGGTGGAGAAAAACTGTGGATAATTTTTCGCAGGTAGAAAGGCCAAAATTTGGTGTATCCTACAAAGCAGTGAGATATCGCTTCCAGAATATTTTCACCAACAAAAAGTCCAAAAATATAAGAGAAGAAAGTGCAAGTGGAATTAACCCTGAGCACACAGAAAAACATTTTCTCTTTGCAAGATAAGGGAGCATTTTGAGGCAGCAAATGCTGATCAGCAAGCAGCATCCCAGCAAGTTAAAGAAAAACAAACAGCAGAAATGGAAGAAGCTGAAGAAATGAGAAGGAAATCAGTAGAAACAAGTGGGGAAAGCAGGAAGAGAAAGGAAGGGGAGGTAAAAAATGCAAGTGAAAATAAAGGTAACGTTCGGCAGAAAACCTTTCAAAATTATTCAAGAAAGAATCAGAGTTTGCAGTTGACTCAATCCGGGCTGATTCACGATTTTGCTTTTGAGAAGTGACGTCATTGGCAATATAATAGAGGGGTTCAGAGAGATGGTGACACAGAGGGGCAGGGGGCCTAAAAATCTTTAAATTATAGGTGATATCATTTATGTATGATCCTGTCATTAATGTCTTGTCTACACTATACTATCGAACCTTGTTTCAGCCTGGATAGGGGGTAGAGTGAACCCAACTAATATTTTCTGTAGTGCTAACACAAAGTTACCTAGCCAAGGTTGATCTGGGCTGACTCGGCTCGGCCCGGGCTAACTCGGCCCGAGTACTGGTTTCTGTAAAAAAAATTAGTGAATACACCTAGCAGCATACCCTTCCCTCTACAACGCGTATAAATGCTTGATGACACTTAGCTGCACCCAAGTTTCCTTTGAAAGATTATTCAGCGCTACTGATAATTTCAAAAGAAGAGAAAACTTTCCACTTGATTACGAGCAAATCATTGGCTAATTTGCTGATTCATTTGCACTTCATCGAAAAGAGTTGAAACTCTGAGAGTTTAAATAAGTTTTGATCTTGATTATTAACTCTACATGGGATTTTAAAGCCTGTTTACACGAGAGGAAAGGTATGGATCCAATTGGGTCCGAATTTACAAATTAAAGTCGAAATACTGCTGCTGTTTAGCGTATTGCTTTATTATCAATTTTTATTGAATCAATCGTATTCTAAGCCACATTTTTAGTGGGTGTGGCTCAATTTTTCCCGCCACGCCCTAAACCGGGCCTTTGAGTTTTCTAGCCACCCTGCGATTTTGAATTAGACCTGAATTGATTTTTGGTTGAAACCCTCTAAACTGTTTGTTACTATTTGTATTCTCAGTAAAAAAAAGCCTAATTTGTATGCACCTTTGCATATCGATTGTATAATTAGTTCATACGAAGTTAGAAGAATGCATCGGCTTGATAAAGAATGAGTAAAGTGTGAGCCCCATATTTTATCAGTACAAAGGCCAGCCAGTAGCCTTTTTCAAATATGGCTACATAAACATTGTCAAACACCATCAAAGTGTTTCATGGTGTTTAAAAACAAAGACCTGGTCACTACGATAGCTTTACCATCAAACACTGAAACAGTTTATGCGAGCCAATACCCAGATGAATGGATGAGAATGATTTGTATGACGGCGAATTGTATGACGGCGAATTGTATGACGAAGTATTGCATGGCGAAGTACTGTATGACGAAGCATTGTATGACGCAGTACTGTTTGATGAAGTACTGTATGACGCAGTACTGTTTGATGAAGTACTGTATGGGCTGAATTGTATGACAACGAATTGTACGACGACGAATTATACGACGACAAATTGTTTGACGACGAATTGTACGACGGGGAATTGTTTGACGACCATTTGTATGATGACTAATTGTAAGAAGATGAATTGTTTGACGATTACGACTCACCTCACTACATCTGAATCAAACTCGATGTGGGGACTGTCTGTGACACCAAGAGCGTAGAGCTACAAATTGAAATAGCGAGTTGCAAGCAGGAATGCAATTGTTAAAGCTAAAGAAAAGTTATTTCATAAAGGATGCACGCATTAGTCTTGCGGAAGCTAGTATTTTATAAATCAGTAGTTGAACGGGAGGATTATGGGAGTACATTAACAGGTTGATTATTCTATTGTGAGTCAGAACCATCAAAACTTGTAAATGGCTTTGAAAAAAGCAAACATTTAGTAGCAAACATTTTAGTAGCAAACATTTAGTAGCAAACATTTAGTAGCAAAAATTAAAAAGCAAACATTTTTTCAAAGCCATTTACAAGTTTTGTACCACCAAAAGATTGTAACCATCAAAACCTTAAAATCAATGGGAAAACTTTAAGCAGAAGAAGATGAAGATTAAATTCAAAGCATAATACCAAAGAAGTTTTCATCATAATACCTATGGTGAAGTCACTTTTATTAAAATCTCTAACTACTAGTAAACTACTAGTAAAAAACGCATCAGGGGCACCAGGTTCAACATTTTCACGCTGGACCCTTGTATCAAAATTGGCGTATGAAATTGGAGAAATATTTTTGGAGGTTGTCGAAAAATGCTGGCTAATACTGATAGATATTCAAGAATTAAAACCATAATCTCCATTTTGCACTTTATTATTTCAATTGCAAGTTTTTATTCGATTCTTCTAGACAATTATCTGCTAATTTACAATGTTAACATTGCATTTAGCCTAATGAACCTTTAGTTTGTGAGGGATTCCTAAAGGGAAGTCTTCTACTACATTTTCCGGGAATCCTAGCCTTGTTTTGCAAAAAGTCAATTGTAAACAGATGTTTTGGGGTCCCAGAAAAGTTAGAACGTTAAATATTTCAGAATGAAATCTAGAAAAATTCAAACTTAAAAATCTAAACATTCTGAGGTAAAACTTCTCTCATTAAACGGTTAAATTTAAGAAGAAAGTGAGCATATTCCATGCTCGGGTGCTGGCTTTACATAACAAGTTTTAATCCTAATGACCCCACTATGGAAATTTACAGCAACCCCCAGACAACGTGGAGCCGGGGGGCTCTATTCGGCAGAATCTGCATCCCATTACATTTCTAAAGAATCCTATAGTAACATTATCGCAAACATAACACAATACGAACCTGGAAACCAAGAGCGCATTTACCAACCATGAACTGAGCAGTGTTCGTGCGATCGAGACAGTCCACACAATTGACGCGAAGTATACCCGTCTGTAAGCAATGCAATTATAATGTCAGGGAGAGATTTTTCGCAGGCAGAAAGAGCCTATGCAAATATTTTCTATGACTTTATGAAATACTGTTTTGCTCACACATTACGTGTACCAGCCAATCTTTTTACAACGATAAAATTTAAAATACACAAAACTACTATAAAACAAAGTAATTTTAAACGGTTTTGGTAAGACAAAAGAACTTTGTTTATGCCTTTCACACCGCGACCCTAATTTACATTTACATTGAGACCGAATTAAAAATATTACTATACATACAAAGTTAATAGAGCTTGAACATTGGAAAATGTTTGCAATGAACTACAACGAGTTAAAATATTTCATTTCAAACTTTGATGAATAGATGAAAATCTTCAAGATCTTCATTATTAGGGAATCAGCGTTTTCTTATAAGTTAAAAGCACTATGTCCCGTCAGTTAACTGTTCAGAAAGAGGCTTTGCAGCGTGTTTCAAATCGAGACAGCACTGAAGACTAGCCGATTGGCTCCGTAACAATAGGTCTATTGTAAAGTCTAACCAATGGGAATTTGATTGGCCAGAGAAATGCGTCGGGGCATTGTGCCTTTAAATTGATATACAGGATGTGCTAATAAGCAATCAAAATGCTGTCACCCCTGGATGGGAACTTCGAAAGCACGCTAGGTGGTCTCCATTAGAACCATTTAGTCTGCTATTAATCTAGTATAAGACATTAATCTTTAACAATCCACTTACAATACATTTGAACTCGGTTAATTTCGGTTAGAATTCGTTTTGAGAAAAAAAATCTGGTTTTTAGAAAAACCTCTATCCTAAGCAAATGATAATTACTTTTCAAGGCTGTTTGAAAGCTTTTTCATTTCAGGATACAGGTAACGAGCACCGTACAGCTGAGCTTTGATTAAACCAAACAGCTTTAATGAACCAGGTTCAAACAAACAAGTCTTTACAGCCAGACCTTTCGTTGGACACAGGCGATGACTCACGCCTTCTTTCCATTAAAAACTCGATCTGCTCCCAAAATACACGAGAAAAAGTGGCAACAAGGGTAATTTCCTAAAAACTGAGGTAAACGGGCCAAGATGCTAAGAAAACATTCTAACTGATATCCAAAGGTTAGAAACACTCACTGATGCGTTTCAATATAAGCAAAGAAAAAATTATATCTGTTTTGGCCCTGCGTTTACGTTGATCTAAAGGAAGAGACAGCTATGTTGCATTTTATAGCGAACTCGGTAAATTCCTATCGTTAGCTGCGTCCTTTTCATTTCAACAAGAATTAGATTAGAGCAGAAAAATTAATTCAGAACAGAAATAGTGATTACTCAACCTTTGATATTTAGCAGAACTCTGAGGTATTTCCTTTTTATATATATTTAGATATGCAATCGCCTTCACGAGAACGTCATACACAGGCCTTAGATACGAGAAGAGCGAACCTGACCGACATGAATTGCTCACCTGACACAGGCCAGGATGTTTCTTGTTGTATCCGTACCCTTTCATGCCATTGAATCTAAAATGATAAATGATACACTTCATCTCAAAGTAATCAGTTAGCAGGAAAGTAAAGTAAGGCTGGATTTTGCTTGGTTTTGTCAAATCAGTACTTACTAGTTTCAGGCGCTAAAAAGTCAGGGTGGAAAACAGCACTTTGTGCCTACATAAGCAACACTTGCGTGTCTCTGAAAGGGCTTACTCTGTCATTTAGCTGTACATACTGAAAACGACATTGACACTCAAACCTGATCATTTATGTCTCAATTCGCTTTGTAATCAAAATATGCGTGATATATCGTGCAACTGCACAAAGTCTAGCCTAAAATATCGCACCATAGAAATCTCCTTGAGAATGAGAAAATGAGAAAAATAAACCTATTCACTTTAAGAAAGATGTCTACAAATTGACCACTTGTTCGTTAATATAAAGATCACTTTATTTTGTTTGGATAAATTGCTATTTGAGTACATGCTTTCTAACTGGTGCAGCAGTTTTTCAACAAAGATGTTCAACAAACTACTGCACGCCACAACAATATCTCACTGACAGGTATCAACTCGTTCGTAATCATTAACTCTTCGTACTCTCACTGTTAATCTATTAGCAAAAAGTATGCGTGATTAGTATAATCACTTCTGCGGCCAGTAGCACATTTTGAGGGTTCCCGGACAGACTCATTTGCAATTTTTCTTAAGGAAGAGATAAAAATTCGAAACCAAAATAAGAGCATACTTTGGGTGACTTCTGATTTTGTTGCAGTAGAGCTGTGGGCCACTATGAAAAAATCCTGTTTCTTTCACAATCTGTAGAAAGGAAATTCAAAAGACTGTGAAAAGGTACAAAACATCTTCATAAATGATTCCTGAAATAGTAATATCTTCTCAAAGCAGGAAATTGGATTGACAATCGGTGAGAGAAAAATAACAGCCGGTAGGTCAGGTAATGGGTATGAAATGGTTATCCACAGCGATGCACATTAAAAAGCGGTGTTGAGAAAGTGTAAGCAGCAGTAATAGGACTAGCAGAAGTGCAAAATGTACTGTATCCAATTTATCAGGAAAAGGTTTGAGCTTTACTTGCAAAATACAAATAATTGATATTCAGGAAATTTCTGCAAATTGTCAGAAAGAAACAGCTATTCTACTGAAGTCATTTTTATCATAGAGGACTGTGCAATTCTATAAAACTTTTCCTTTAAGATATAACACGATGTCATAAACTTTCAAAGCTAGTGGAGGCAAAAGCTGTTGAAAAAATTCAATGCTTTCTCCATTGTTTGAATGCAAAACGCATGACTCTTCTTAACAGAGTGAGAAACGGCTAAAACCCCTCCTTGTGCGAGGTTTCTAGTGACTAGCTCAACTTGTATTGCATTATTTAAAATGAGACTGAAAGCTGTGAGTGGTTGTTTCATTTGCTTCCAATTTGAAACTAGAGGTTATTTCCACAAAATTTGATTCACATATCCCAATAGAAGGGCGTTACATAGCAAAGCCAAAACTTGTTCTTTGTAGTTTCAGTAATGTTTGGACTTAGTAAAATCATTTGCTGCTCTCGTCATCATTGAACACAATATTTTTGTTAGATACTTGAGAGCATTTGAGCAAGTAAAGCATTCCCAGCTGCTAGGAAAACCTGAAAACAACTACTAGCTTGTCTTAAAAACCTTTCGGGGTCAACATGTAACTTGAACTATACCTTCTCTGCTATTTCAGCAAGCCTTTCGATGACACTTATCTCTTTGCTAAAAAGAAACAGAAAAGTGATATGAGAAGGCCAAGCTCAAAATTATATCCAATCAGAGGAGTGAGCTTGAAGCTGCACTGAAGGAATAGAAGGAAATAATCTGCTTGTTGGTCACTCTTTGTAAAGCAGGAAAAACAGTGTTCCGATATGAAAAGGATCGTTGTGGTATAATCACTGACTTGTTGACTCCAAAAATATCAAAACTCAAAGATTCTGACAACAGCTGCTTTAAGAACATAAAAAAGCAAGAATATTTTTTCAAATAGCATCGAAGTAATTGTGCTACAGATAATTTATGACGAAAACGTCAAGAAACTGCAAAAATGTTTCTTCTAACGAAAGATTTAGAAGTTATTTTAGCTACTGGCGTGCAATGTGAGCAACTTTTCCTTAAGAGCTTCAAAGTAGGATTAAACATTCATAAATAAATAATACACATCTGAAAAAGGCAAGCCAATTGCTATCATATCGACATACTCGCCTCTTTGTAACCCTTGCCATATCCCAGGCGATGTACTGTACAGCAAATTCAGGTGGGATGAATTGGTTCACATACACAACTATTTGCTTTAGGTTTTCGCTCAGTATTTGCTCATGGGGCCGTCGTTCTCTTTTCTAAAGACACAAATTATGTTGATTATTTCTAAAAATAAACGGATCAATGGATATTGACGATCAATGGATCTCTCGAATCTCTTCAAAGATCAACATTTTCCAGAGGATATAAAACTCTACAAAATTCTACATTTTCTGACTTCGGTTTATAAATAATTGATAATAAGGCAAGTTCCCATAGCCAAATTTCAAATAAACTGGTTCGGCTGGGTCACAGTTTGATAGTAACTTACGCAACCATTTTTCTCACTGCTTATAAGTATAATTATCTGACGAAGATCAGTAGAAGGCAGATGCTTCAGGGAAGAGAGGACAACAGAAGCTGCAGGCAGTGTAACTGATACAGGTAAGAACATACCTTGACTAGATTCAAAATGATAATTGGGGCACCGAACCTCGCCATTAGCTTATTTAAATGAAGAGCAGCAGAAGCGTAGTACGGGTCTGTGCGATCGACTAAAAGGTAATGTTTAAATTCATTAAGCATTCTTTGTAAATAAACTTTTCGCATAGGTAACTGTAAGTGCATTCTTGACAAAAGGTGTCTCTTTAACAGTTTTCAAAAAACGAACTTTCTACACATGGAAATCAATTTATTAATTTCGGAATCGATCTTGCAGTTTAGGGATCGATCTACAAACAAACGAAAAAGCCGCCACTGTGTAGACAGAAGGAGTTCGTTCTCTCTTTTGGGCTCCAGTGGTAATTTTTCTTTAGGCACGCGGCACTGATTGGTCAACTATACCGGTCTTGTGCTCGATCCACAACTGGGTATTTATTTTTCATCGTGTTCTTTCGGACCCTTTTTCTGACGTTTCATGCTCTGAGGAGTGTCAGACGAAAAAGCTTTTAGCCAATATGTTTTAAAATGTTTGCTTTTTTCAAAGCCATTTTCAAGTTTTGCACCGCCAAAAAACTGTTCAAATTCATTAATTGTTAGAAAAATGAAAGTGACATGGAATAACCTTCAGCAAGAAAATTCATGTCAAAGCTTAAAAACTTGAGAAACAATAAATCACTGTTTTCTTCTAACTCTTGATTTTTATCGGATAATCCCAGAGCTAAATATCTATTTTATGGTGCAAGATTTTTTTAAATAAATTTTTAAATATAATCAACCTTAGTAAAAAACATAAGCACAGATAGAGTATAGAAAACAGCAAATAATTACGCGATTTCATTTAATACCGATTCCATAAATGCAACTATCTGGTTTGAGAGATGTACCACTCCACGATGCAGCGTTACATTACAGCTTGAGATGTCATAGAAGGTCGAGTAACACTTTTTGTGGCAATGGCAGGCGGTCGAGGGTGGGATGCAAAACCCAAAATAACTTTACAAGGAAGTAGAACTGGTAATAACTGAATGCGATAAAAAAAGGAATACTCGTGCATTTAAAAATTTTCCACGATAATATTTACTTTGTAAAGCGAGAAGACAACACTGTTATAATGGAGGAATTCGCAGACCCTAGAACTTACTTCGGCAGCCAAATGTACGCAAGCTGTGATATAAACCTGTCTTGAGCCAACCGTATCAACGAACCTCTTCAACTACCCCTTTGCTCCTAACACCCCCTGCAAAGTATCTAATTTCATACAACCATCTTCAAGCAATTCTATCAGAGCCCTAATTTACTTGACGGTCACACCATCGATGACATTGAAAAGGCCAACAGTGAAACAAAATTGAAAATTCTCGCCAAAACTGAGCCTCGTTTACGTGGTTCCGTTGACGAAGAGTTTCCTACTTAAGGGGTTTTGCTCGGAGGAACGCAAAACACTTAACTGGATAATTGACATCGTCATTCTAAACACCCCGTTAAACAAATAAAGGCCACTGATGAGGACAGCAATTTTTCAAAGAAATTCCAATAACACTGAGCTTAAAAATTTCAATTGAGCTTAAAAAATAAGACTGAGGATCCTTACCAAGAATCTGCGGTTTTGGAACAATTCTGCCTTGAGAGGTGTCTTGCGACCAGTAGAAAGGGGCTGAGCCTCGTAGCTGTGTGTAGGAAGTGTATCTACCACTTTTCAATGATATAAACGAGGCATCGTGAGCAATTTGCTCTGTTTCAACATCATTGGCAACAAACCCTTCATCATTTACTCCACGCTTCAAGAATCTTGTTCCTGCGAATTGATTCGATCTTCTTGCTATCAAAGTAACGTAAATGGGCTTACCGTGAACGCAAATATCTTTTAATTAATTAAGGTACATGGATATATATGACACTACCAGCCTTTGAACGTTTCATGCAAAACACACATAGCTTTGTCTCAACATGAGACTATTTTAAAGTAGCAAACCAACCTATCAGTCAGAACACTACCTGGGAATTGAACATCAATTTTGTATTGGAAAAATCGATAAAACGACGCAAAAATTAAAAACATAGTGTTGTTTAGTTTGATTTAGCATAGTATAGTAAAGTATGGTAATTCTATACAACATAATATAATAAAATGCATTATAATATTTAGCACAGTATAGTAAAGTATGGTATTATAACAAAACACGTAAGCTTGTGTAATTTGCTACATCATCATTTCTTGATATTTATCTTATAAGGATACTTGACTGGCCAACAAATCCATGTATGATATACAATATCCAATCCGGGTGAACCTGCTCCTTGAAATTTTCCAATAAATGAATGTTCCAAACGAACTTCTCATACGGTCGGCCTCTGTATGGGACATACTGCTTTTTGTTGTATTTGACCTTTTTCTTTGTAAAGGATGTCTCGCATTCATCCCCACTAACGTATACAGGAGAAGCTAAAAAATGGACAGTTGGCTACAGCAAAGGGAAGAATTACAAGGGAAAGACAAAGTAAATGTTCAGAAGCTCCAAAAATCAAGACCTACTTTGAAATTTCTGCACTCATCCTCATGACTGCATTAAACTTGAAATACCTTTTTCTTTGATGATGGAACGGGTATGCCGAAACATATTATACTAAATTAATTTTTGTCCGATACTCCACAATAAACGTTGGATAATGACCCATGCCATAGACAGGGGTGAGGGGCAAATTGCCCCAGGACCTGGAGGTCATGCCTAAAAATAGCAAAATGTTTGCAAAGATAGCAAGTAAAGACGGCAAGAAGTATTCTAAAATGCATTTTCAGCTTATCTGCAGGGCGTGGAAACAAAAGTTTTCGCAACCAGGGGCCTCTTTTTTCGGTTTTATCACAGGGTCTCCGGAACCTCTCGTCAGCCCTGATCAAGACTACCTGTAAGAAGAAATTTACATCCAGATGCAGATCAAAGTATCGAGAAAAAGAAGAATGACTCGTTCTATTGGTTCCTAGTTTTTGACGAATCAACGATCGTTAATCCATGAACAACCTGAAGAGTCCAAGAAAAAAAAGAACCTTTTTCTGTTGCCATCTCATGATATCACGAGATCAGGATATTTTGTGTTGGGATATATTTCTTTCGAGATCAATATTTGGTATCCACATCAAATACGGCAAATGCTTAGTCTGCTCACTATAACAATAAGAACACTTAGAAATATTGAAGTCTTAATCAATTGCTCAAGCCAATAAAATCAATGCTTAAATTTTAAATTTCAAATTAGGTTAATACCCTCAGGTTGTGTTGGTGTCATTCTTTCCTGTTGACCGGTAGTGTTCAGTTCTCGTTTTGAAGTTGGACTCGCCTCTTTCCGGGGATCATCAGACTTGCTATATTTTCTTATCAGATCCTTATCCAACCCATCCATAAAGACTTTTGCTTCCACGTCAGTCGAAATCCCATCTTCTGGCTCTTTTTCAACAAACTTCTCTGGTAGGCCGAAATTCGGTGCAAGGTTGTACTGTAAGGTGTGTGTCGGATCGTAGCTATAACTAAGGCAATGGGATAATAAAACATTATAATTTCTGAGGGGTAAATAATGAAACGATGATTAAATACACGAATGTTTTTGCCATCATACCATCAATTGTCTCAAATTATCTAGTTATCGACATTTGCGACTTTATTCTTATACAAGAGCATTGGTTCGCAAATGGTTTTCAGCCGCAACCCCTTTCGAGACCCCCACATGAATTGAATACCCCAACTCCAAAAGCCATACCTCAAACTTCCTCATTTTCAAAAAAATTATAATAGCAAATAATTGATATTGTTAAGATGAATTTCAAAGCTTATTTTTTAAATTTATCAAAAAGTTTTGTCCCGCAACGGACTCTATTCAGCAATCACAATAAAAGTAATAACGATAGGGCTTTTTCTGATGGTGGAACTTAATGTTCTGCCGCAAAAGTTCTATCTTGGGCTTCTCCGAACCAGCTAAAGTATCAGATCCCCTTCCTTGATTTTGTCTAAACGATTATGTTGCTTGGTTAGGAACTGTAGGACAGCGTTCAATCTTATCTTCACAATGTCTGAAATCTGGAATGCAGTAATGATATGTTCTACACTTCGCTAGGTTTGAGGATATGCTCGCTGCTTTTCTCATATGACGTAAGTGATGTTACTCATTCCATTGTCAAAAATCCTATATAATAGAGATACCGCATCTTGTACCATACACAAACTTGCTGTGGAGGTTCACTTAAAAATCTGTTTATAGCCTTGACAATATAATATGAACCTAAGTAGTTCAGCCCCACCCTTGAAGACGTCACTGGCCACCAACCAACGGCTACCGGCCACCGACCACCGGCCACCGACCACCGGCTACCGGCTACCGGCCACCTAGGAGCTCCTCAACGGCCCCATAGACCTTGAAATCGTCCCCTGGGTACGCTTTCACTCATAATTGGACCACACTACATCAATCTAGAACAGTAATTGCTTATCAAAAACTCGTCGCATGTAAATTGTACAAGCCTTCAGACTTGCTATGATGCTATGACAAGTTCAGAACCGAACTTTATTCTCACATGTATGTAGGGATTGAATCTGATATTAATATCAAGAAACATTTTTTATAAACTTCGGCAATGTTTAGCAGCTTTTTGGTTTTCTCGAACAAAGTGGAATAAGCTTGATCAAATGGGCAAAGAGAAACGAAAACCGCACTTTGAAAATAAAAACAACATAAAGAAATTTTGTGAATTTGCATCTCTGTATCTCAACAACTAAAGACTCCAAGAACATTTGATAAACTTGATGCATCTGAAATCGTAGATGCAACTGATTACAAAAAGAGCTTCATTTAATTTTTTGAAGAATATATACCAAGTATTTAATGGAACGCTTTATTTCCTGTTGGTTTTTAAACCTGCCTAAAATACAGCTAAATTAACACAGCGTAAACTGAATGGACGTCACAGGAGAAAAATTTTAAGCCTACAGTTGCATGTTTCCCTCTTCCATTATTTAACAAACTTCTTCATTGATCTATCAAGTTATTGTTCTCATTTATCAAGCTCTATTAAAAATTTATCAGTTGCCTCCAGAAAAGCTGATCTGACTGTATCTTATAAAAGAGTTAGCAAAGTATTTAGAATTCAAATCATGAATATGATTACAAAAACCACAAAATTATGAAACGCAAAGTACCTTTTTGCCTAGCATTTTAAGAAAGTTGTGTAACATTACCTTTTATAGTCCTTTTATATGGACACATTACCTTTAGCCATTAGCTGATGTATAAGTTACAAATAAGCTACAATGGATGACAAAAGGGTTTTCTATACCTGAAGTAAAAATTGCTGGATAAATCCACATTTTGAAAAATCCTCAGATACCTATAAAAATGAATTGTCAGACGATATTTTCAGACAAAAAGTTTTTCTAAAAGTTCAACAAAGCTTTAGTCCTCCTCTGAAAAAACTGCATGCATTTAAGATAGAGACTGAGCACTTTACCTAAAATAATCTTTCAATTTATGATAAGATTCAAGTACCCAACATTGAAATTTAAAGGCAGACAGAACTTTCAAACATCCATAGCATTTTCAATTTATATCAATCAAAATCAAGATTAACAGTTAATATATACGAGGCAAGGGAGAATACTCCTTGTAAATTAAATTAAAAATAGCAGGTGTCCACAACAAACAAATGAGCTTTCAAACTTTTGCCGAATTATCCTGAAACTTTATTCTAAGATATTCAAAGGAAATGTTTTATTGTATAATTATTACCTTGTTTCATCTGGATTTGAAAATTTGATTCTGGCTTGTTCGTTTGCAATAGGAATCATAACTGTATCATCAATTTTATAAATAGTGTGACCTCCAATCAATGCTACTCTATAATGAATAACAGAATAAGATAAAAGCACAATTCTAGCATTACAAGAAGTAATGAATATGAGACAACAGAATAAGAAAAAAATTGTTAAACTTGACAGATAAATCAATGGCTCACGGTAACATAACACAAAAAGAATGCAAAATACCTTCGCCTCTTTGAAATGAGAATCATGTAATATCCTTCCAAAAATTTGACAAATCCTAAAACACATCAGAATTGTTAGGAAATAAAAAATGCTTTACTTCATTATATTAAAATGTGTTGAAAAAAACTGTGAACTGTCCCTCATACAGTGCTTAATGTAGTTAAGGCAGGGCAGTTCATGTCTTTATGTGACAAACAGCACAGCTTCAAGGTTGTAATCAAGTTATAAATAAGATTTAGATGCTATGTCAAAATGAGTTTGCTACATATCAGAACCTTTGGATCAAAGCTGACCTGTCTTCTCTAGCAGCAATAAAAAGCAAGCAATAAAATGTTTAAGGAATCAAATAAAGACAAAAAGAACTTTTAGCATTAAATTGCGTAACTTCCATGTGAGTATATTTGATAATAACCTTCTGATAAAGTATTATGTACTTTAAGAGTAACCTAGAATAGGTATAGGAACACTTTTTGATGCTTGTTTGATTCCTATTAAGTTCTTTTGAGAGCGTTTTGTCCTTTTTATGATCTAATTTAATGTGCATAAAACACAGGGGCCGTTAGAGACAATGTTGAGTGAGCCTCAAAGGTGCAGATTTAGTGGGGGGCTCCAGGGCTTGAGTCCCTCCTGACAAAAATTTGGGGGGGCTCAGCCCTCCTGGGAAATAAGGAAGTTGGCTATTGATTTGTTACAACAATTTTCCATATTCTTGGTTACACAGATAAAAATCATCTCAAGAGATTTAGTTAAGATCAAATAACAATGACAATGAAAAATGTAAATGGAAATTGCCTTAGAACCCTGAGCAAGGCTTTTTCTTACCCTGTGCTGTTGGCAGCCATCATTATCAATTGCAATTAGTTTTTGAGCCCCAATGGAAAAAATACAAGCCTGCACCTATGGTTAACATTGTGTCTTGATGAATTTATTGACTAGACCAAAATACAGGGCATATACAGATAAAACCAGGGGGTGGTATGAAAGTGTTGTTGATTACATTTCTGTGGGTAAGGAGACTATGAAAGGTGTTGATCACAGTGACACAATGAATGAACTTAATAGGCTTGACAATGGTCACTTCATAGGTTTTAAAAATGGAAGGTGAATAATTAGAACTGCAGAGGATCATTTTAACTGCAAGGAGCGAAAAATGTATTGTATTTAACATCCAGATTCTCAGTACCATTATGAAAAGTTGACAATGCTAATATAATTGATTACCAACTATTCCGAATGCTGACCCTCTGTGATGCAGCCCACTAATTCCTTTATCATATGATCTTGATGCTTTTGGTCTATTCCCAACATCTATCATTTGAAGAAGTGTTCGAATTTGTTTCTGGTTATATTCCACCTGTAATCCAGACAACAGATAGAAAATACAACAAATACTAGCTTCGTGATAAATGGCAAATGTATGGTAAACAAATTCATAAAATAATTCAAAATCTACAAGGAACTAAGAGCAAGCAAGCATTGGTACTGTCTTTGTTGGAACAATGCAAAAAAAATCCATTTTCATGTTATCTAATTTCATATTTCTTCCAGGTAATACTAAGAAAATGCTAAGAAATTTAGATCACAGTAAACAAAGAAAATTTCAATTTTGATGAAATGTACAAATAATCTTACTTTAATAGAAAACAAACCTTGTCATCTATGAGGACCAACTCTGTTGGTTCAGTTCTGTCTATCTTCAAAACCCTAAAACGTGTTTGTGCATTGTTTGATGCCACCAGATAAAATCTCTGCAAAATAGATAACAGATATTCTATAGATAGATAGCAAAATAGATAGCAAAGTAGCAAGATAGATAGCAAAATAGATAACAGACAATCAGTATCAGATATTTTATGAATTCAAATTAAATTCTTTAATTTGTATGCCTGAAACCCTAGCATGTCCAGTACCATGTTAAACAGGTTTTTAATGCACCCCCCGCAATAGTCATTTTTGAAATATTCTTTATTAAGAATGAAGTTTATGAATTTTATATTTTTGGAATTTTGATCCATTCTCGTGATATGAAATGATATGAAGACACATGAAATTTGAAAATATCATTCATAAAATCTGGACTTTGGTTGATTTTGGTTTTATACATTTCTATGGCTAATCTCTGCAGGTTCTTTTGATGTATTGTTGAGGCATTATATTTCATAAGTAAACCTTCAAAAGATGAGTCATTTAGTCATTATATGCCACCCTTAGTGCTCTTTTGTGAACATTGTTGATTAAGTTGTTCATTTTTCGGCTACAAAACATCCAAACAATGGGGCAATAATTGAAGTAGGTAGTGATAAACGATTTCATTAACAGTTTTCTCTTTCTTTTATTTAAATAAGGCGCTACTCTGGCAAGGGCACTAATTTTTTTCCCAGCTTCATTACAAATTCTTTTTATGTGATGATCAAACTTGAGATGATTTTCAAGAAATATTCCAATAAATGTTTCTTTATCTGTGTTTCTGATTGAATAATCCCCAATTTTAACTTCACTTTCTCTCTCAGGCTCTATAATCATATATTTACATTTATCTTTATTTAGAAGCATGCAGTAATCTGTGAACCAGCTATTAAGAGTGTTTATCTCAGATTCAAGCTTTGGGATTATACCACTAGTTGTTTGCCCTTTTATCCATATTGTGTTATCATCGGCATAATTACACATGTCACTTTCGTTTAGAAATAGAAAAATATCATTAATAAAAATATTGAACAATAATGGTCCTAAGACAGATCCCTGTGGGACCCTCTTAATTATATCTCTCCATTCACTGCAGTTAGAGTTAAGTTTTACAACTTTGTATCACAACATGGAGATGCAACTTTGTATTGCAATCAATGATGATATATGGACTGAAGGAGAAAGTAAAAATATCTTGATAAGGGCAACAGAGCTCTATATTTTGAAGAGCAGAAAGCAAAAGCTTGATAATGTCAACAGTATATAAAAAAACCTAAGCTAGAGAAAGGAGAGGAAACTGAAGAAAGCTATGACAAAGAAGAAAGATTGAAGAAAGGCTGGCTGTACTGTTTTCTAATTATTTAAACTGTTTTTGAACCATTTTAAAGATTAAGAGCTGTAAAAACTTGTTTGTTTTTGTATGCAAAGTATGCAAAGAATGTGTGATCACTTCAACCTTTGTGTCATTTCTCTACCAATTCCTTCTCATTCAATTGCTCAATAAATTTCATACTACTGTGGAAGGAACACTGATCAAATGGCAAGATATTTTTTATGAAATATCAACTATGATATCCACTATAATATCTGTTACATTAACAATGATACTGAAGTCAGTGATGCTGCATTGTAATTTTTGGATAGATGGTAGGGCCTACAAGAAATTGATTTTTTTCAATCGAGATATCTTTCAATGATTACAAAAAGATTTTATAATTACTTCCTAGAAAATTTATTAACTAATTAAATTTAACATCTTTAAAGAAGAACAAGACCAGTTTCTTCATCAATTTCCTTGGTTTCTGTTCAGATTATAACACATAAGATTTCCTTGAAAGCAGCACCCAGTTCTTGACAACAGGAATGAGAAACAACTGATTAAAAAGTGGTTCACATTGTATGCCATTGCAGGCACAAACTAGTCAAGACATGCAAAATGCTGTACGCAGCCTATTTTCATATCACAAAGAATGGTGTATAGAACAGAACTGATCTAAATTGCTACTCTGAGTTTCATGCTAAATACAATCATCAGGCATCTGCAAAAGCAAAAAGCATGAACAAAACTGTAAATGATTTCCAAATTAACAGTTTCTGCTTTAACTGGTATGCCAGACCAGTGTGGAACCCATGTACCTTGCACCATTTGACATAAAGGGCAAGACTAAACAAGCTTGTTTTCAGCCCCAGACTGCAGAGTATGGCAGTTTCCAACAAGATACTGAAAGTGCAAGAGCAAAATATCAAGTGTGCAAGTGTGCACTTGGGTAAGTGTGGACTTTGACATGATTCATAGTTGTTTGGTATCCATCAAACCAATGCAAGATTATGTCTATCTTGAGGACACATGATTCTTCATTTTCTCTAAGCAATAGGACACACCCATGTCACGCCCAGAGATCTCAAAATGCCACACCTATTACCAGGAGTGCAGGCACATTATAAAGAAAATGCCTTGGATGTGCACTTGCCATACTCTGTACCCAGGTTTACAAATTAAAAGTGGAAAAACCCTAAATCTTTAACGTCCGTCAAATAAGATTTACACTTTGTTTTAATGTGGAAGTAAGATTATCCGTGCCTGCCCCCTTCCCCCCTCGATTCCTGTCTTAGATTGTTTTCGTTTAAGTAGTTGTAAACAGAACGTAAGTAAACATTCTTGTATGGATGGTCCCATAACTCCTCTTGGATGCACCACTAACCACACACCTTAACAGGAATAAAAAGAAAAAGTACCGTTTTCGTCTCGTAGACGGCGATTTTCTGCGTACAGCAAATTGGGTGGACGTACTCCATATCTTCTCTGTCTGGTTCGCCAAGGACACCAGATTTGCGAATCGATTCACCTCAAAAAATCAAAACCACTGGTTTTCTGGAGTAAAAGATACAATTGCATGATTTAATTTGAGTTTTCAGCTAGCACCTACAAAAAATTGGCCATTAGAGCTGTCGACATCCTCTATTTGTAAACAATCATCACTCGGCCACTGACCCACAGACCAATGTCCAGAACCAGTAAGAGGCTCTTGTAATGAATTGAATTAATCTGCTAAAAAATTAACTCATATTTGGGGGGGGGGGTCTTGTACTGGGGTAATTTTAATGAACAATTCCGTTTGCTCCTATTGCTCTCAAGCTATAATGGTCCGAGTTACTCTTCCTCTCTTACTGCAAACTGAGGACAAGAGGACAGGGATGGGGTGAGGTTGCGAAAGGGGTGAGGTCGAATAAAGGTGGGGCAAAAACATGTACATGTCCACCAATCGCTGTTTATTCATTGTTGCAAGAAAGTAACCCCTATGCATTTGCTCTTAGATAAGCTAGTTTTTCGGTTTTTGGATGTCCTCAGAATAGAAATTTAGAGGTCGGTTACCGAGTTGCAAAGAAATTCTGCTAATGTAAAAGCAAAGATACTCGAATAGTGACTGGATAGGAAACTGCGAAGCGGACAATAGAACATGTTACGCATCACTGCTTATTCAAACTTGTAGGGAATGATCATTTCCGGTTTGTTTGGTTTTGATGGATAATGACGAGATTCGCAGCTATTCGGCATGGTAGTTAATTGTTGTATCGTTAATTGTACGACTTACCAAGACAAGCAAATTTACCCCTTGTTAAGTTTTCACAAGATACCCCCTTCGTCAACAAAAAATGAAAGGAAAAAGGAGTGGAGAGCGCAGCTTTTGCGTAAAGTAAACAGATGCGATAGGAGCTTCAACGCAGAGAGGGCCTACATCTGCTCAAGGCATTTTGATCAACATTGCTTCAAGATCGGTAAGTCACTGTAACTTTCATTACTTCTTTCATTGATCATTATTTTTCCCGTATTATTTTATAAGTTTTTTTAGGATTGGATGCGGATCTCGTTAAAAAGTCTTTTGGGGGCGCTACGAAAATAAGTTATAATAATATTCCTAGGAATTCAATCGATTTTGACTAATTATTGGGGGGGGGGGGCTGCCACAACCCCCACAACTTCTATCAATCTGTTTCTTGTAATAGGTTGACTGAAAATACCAACAGTGTCACCATTGAATTAAACAAAACAGGCACTTGTCTGATGGGAGGGGGCAACGGAAAATTTATTTTTCTTGTATTCATATGAGCAATAAATTATTTCATAATATTGTTTGTAGGAAAGACGGGAAGAAAAGACCTCCTTGTTGGAAGTTTGCCTACACTGTTCTTACCTAAGAAAAGTCATCAACAGGATGCAGGGAAACAAAGGCGTAAACTTGAAAGACTTTCTCAAGAGGTGCCCTTACCAGTGCTTTACAAATATAGAGATTTTGCAGATTTCAAAAAGGGCATTGGCAAAATAAAACAGCCTTGGGTCATTTTACATAGCTCTGATGAGACTGTAGCCTTAGGTCTTGCTGACGAAACTGGAAATATTCAGATCAAAGTTTCTGTGGATGAATCACTTGGCTTCGATATAGAGAGTAACATACAACAAGCTCCTGACAACCATTTCATTTTTAAGAAGTACAAAAGAACAGTTTCCAAAACCCAGATCAATGTGATTTTGAAAGATATTGCATCATTGAATCAGTGTCAAGGCATAACAGAACCAAATGCAAAAGAGTTCGGAATAAGACATGTCTTAAGCAGTGGCTCAAAAATTTACAATTTCTCAACTTATAAAGTTGGTCAAGAGCTGAGATCATCTTTGTATAGCAGAAAATGCTCTATGCTTCTGAATGGTTCATTTTCTTGCTCAGAATGTAAACTGTCCACAAGATTACTTAGAGCTAAGCTGAGAATGAACGAAAAGCAAAAGGGAATACCAATTGCAAAGAAAGCACCATTGACAAAAATTGCAAAAGACCGTCTTGTAAGGGCTGTCCACATACTGAAGGTTAAGGAAAGGAATTTGGAGGATAGACTTAAAGTACTTGAAAATGAATTAGAGGCAAAGGGTGTTAATCTAGACAATGAAATGCACGATAACCTGAGCAGCATTATTGAAAGAGGTGCAACATCATTGCCTGAAAATTCTTTTGAAAATCTTTTCTGGAAAGAGCAGAAAAGAGCATTTGAGTCTTCCAAGACTGGATACAAATGGCATCCCATGATGATTAGATTTGCCTTACATTTGCATTTAAAATCACCAGCAGCTTACAGATCTTTAAAAGAGAGCTTGGTTATAAGACTCCCATCAGAAAGAACTCTCAGGGACTACTCAAATGTTTTCCAGCCCTCAGTTGGTTTCAAGAAAGAGGTTTTGGAAGATCTGAAGCACCAAGGATCACAGCTAAAAGGCATAGCAAAGTATGTTGTTTTAATGCTAGACGAATTGTCTGTCCAAGATGACTTGGTTTTCAACAATTCAACAAATGAGCTTGTTGGTTTTGTCAACCTTGGGGAGGATTTGAATCAAATCTTCAAAAAGAAAGCCACAGATTCTATTGCATCGCATGCTCTCGTTTTCATGGTTTGTGGCATTGCTTCCAAACTTAAATTCTCTCTTGGCTATTTTGCCACCACAACAGCAACAGCAGCCATGTTGTATCCTTTAGTTTGGAGAGCAGTTGGTTACTGTGAAGGATTTGCAGGTTTAAAGGTGATAGGTGTTGTTTCTGACAAGGCCTCTGGCAACCAAAAGCTATATCGGATACTTTGCCCTGAACAGGATGTCTCCTACAAGACTGTTAATGTGTTTTGTGGAGAAGAGCGGCCACTTTTTCTCTTCTCAGACCCTCCACATTTGATAAAAACGGTCCGAAACAACCTTGCAAGCTCAGGATTTGATAAAAAACGACTTCTTTGGAATGGAAAAGAGATGACTTGGAGTCACATTTCCTCTCTCTTTGAGTCTGATAGGCAGAGTGAAGTCAGAAAGCTACATAAACTGCGACATGAACATATTTATTTAACATCTTATTCCAAAATGCGGGTTAATCTTGCAGCTCAGGTCATGAGTGAGACAGTGGGAAAAGTAATGCATGAGTATGGATCACCAGACAGTAGTGAAACAGCCAAGATGATCTTGATGATGGATAAGTTTTTTGACTGTTGTAACACTAGATCGCTGAGCGAGGGGGATAGAAAAAGAAAACCATTCTTAAAGCCATATACAGATATTAATGACAGTCGCTTTTCTTTCATGAAGGATGAGTTTTTGAAGTTTCTGAATGATTGGAAAGAAGCTATTGAGTCTCGTGATGGAAATTACAGTGAGGCAGAGAGAAAGAAAATGTTTCTGAGCAAGGCAACTTATGATGGGCTGCAAACAACATCATATGCCTTGATTGAATGTGTTAAGTACTTGCTGCAAAATGGCTTCAAATATGTACTTACCAACAGGTTCTGTCAAGATCCACTTGAAAACCATTTTGGGATGCATAGAGGGCTGGGAAGAAGATCTTGCAACCCCACTGTATATGCATTAGGGTATCAAGAGAATAAGTTACGGCTGCAAAGAACTATTGCAAGTAGCATCACACCTCAAGGAAATACAAAGGGTTCAAAAGGTCCCAAACAGGGGATTACGATAACAACAAGTCCTCTGAAGAAAAGAAAGAGACAGCCAAAAGGGACTTCCTGAGAGGGACCTCTTTGCATTGAACTCTAAGGAACTATCAAACCAAGGTAAATAGTAGAAATATTGTAACTGGTATATTTGAAGGCATTACATAGTTTCTGTGACCCAGTAGGGGGCACCATTATCAGAAAAGAGGCACTGTCCATAGAAGCAAACAAGGATACAAATGCAGCATATACTCAAATCCAAAATAACATATAGGTGGCTTGTAAAAGTACTTTTAAAAAAACTGTAAAAAGGACTTGAAAAGGAAAATTCTGGAAAAAAGTCAACACTTTTATGTATTTCCAGTCATTGGGGGCATTATCCCTAAAGAAGTCCTTGACCCAATCACTCTTAATGGGCCACATATTAGGTTATTGGTCATTGCTTAAGTTGGCAATTCCAAGAGCAAGACAGCTGAACAATTTAAAGTATTGTTTATATTGCACTGATACTGCAAATTTCATGTGACAATGTTCCTAAGGCCTAATCATCCTCTGCTATGAATCACTACCATCATGGTTGTGTTTTTGTTTACCCAACAAGATCATGTCCTCCTGTTTTTGCTAATTGCATTGTTTACTCTTGCCACACCATTTGCCCTTCAGTTTCTTATCTTATCTTATGCACCTATTTTAATGATTTGTTTTAAGTATAGGTGTGGCTTTTATTACTGTTAGTCCAATAATGTATGGTTCCCTATAGTGTAACACCCTACATAATTGTAAGCAAATTGTTTTTAACAGAAAAAGGATGAATTTAATTATTTGACTTTGATATAGCTAATAAACCTTTTCAGTAAGTAATGCAGCAAATAAGGTACAAGGCATCACTTGGTTATACTATAATGTGGAGTTCTTGATGTGATAACAAGATTAAGATGTAATTTCACTCATTTTTGAAAATTGAAGAAATGTTTTAATGTTTTAGTAATAGGGGGGGTTCTAGTAATAAAAACCAGAAAACCAGCAATACTAAAATACAATTTTTGCATATCAAATTTTTTTTATTGTTGAAAAGAACAGAACATGAATATTTCTCTAGTAGAATTCTTTTTGTAATAATATAGTTATTTTTCAAGCTGCTTAGTTCATATTTTATCTATATTCTATTGTTGTATCTTAAGAAATATTAACTTTTGCCTGATAGCTGTGAATTTCAAGAAAAATGTTTGTTATTATTTTTAGGAAGATAATTTGAGTTTTTTCCGTAATGCCTTCTCCTTCTTTTGTCGTCCAGTTGCACATTTATGTGTCTCTATCACATGTCTAGCATGAGCATGAGCTCTAATTTTAATGTAGACCCGAATAGCATCTTTAAAAATTGTGTCCTTCAAATCAGATGCTGCATCAACAGAATCAAACAGAAACTTTGAGGTAGCTAGCAATGTAGATGCCTCCTTGAAAATGGTGACAACAATAGAAGCAACATTAATCCTTTTTGGATTAGAAGATATAGCTTTCCTCAAAATTTCTTCTGCTTTATGAAAGATTTCAACAAATTTTGCTTTTGGGTATGTTAGACCACCCCGGTTCAATGTATCAATCAATTTCTTATCCCTCAACCACTCTTCTTCAGTGCCCTTGCAGCAGTTAAGTAATTCTATTCTCTGCCTCAAAGTATTTTCAGTTTCTTTTGTCGCATGTTTCTTTCTTACTGTGTCATAGGTCTTTTTTATAAGCTTTGATAATACTGCTCCGCAAATGTATGATATTACTTCTTTATCACCCTTAGTTAGCTCTTTGGGTTGCTGATGCAGTTCCTCTATCCCTTTCTTCTGCTTGGCAATTTCTTCTTGGCAGTGCAACATAAGCCATGAACTAAACTCCTTGGAGACACCTAAGTGGGCTTGCACATTTTTTCTAACATCTTCATCCACCCAAACTTTGTGGAAATTTGTCCACATGGAATCCAAAGAATTGGTTTTGCTTTCCAATCTGTTCTTAAAGAGACCACTTAGAAAGTCTGTTGTATCAGTAGGTCCTTCCATTAGCCTTTGAAGAACTTCTCCATACATCTCCTCCAAAACCGCATTGTTTGCCATCGATTCTAAAGCACATTTGATGATTGAATTTATACAAATCTGAGGAGCATCCTGTTCTTTCCTCTTTAAAGTCACCCCCTTCTTCCTATGATTTGGCTCTTTAACTTTTCTTTTCTTTGCCTTGCTCGTTGTTTGTTGGTGAATAACATCTACTTGACTATCATCACAAAACTTAATAGTAGTTTCCTAAAAGGAAAACATAGATAATAATTCAACCAGAAGTAAACACCTGCTACAGGGGTGCACAGCTCTGTACCCTCAAAAGTATAATAAAAACGGAAAATGTTGTTTCGTAATTTGTTTGATTGACTTGTGCTGCTACCGTGTCGATGAAAAATAAAGCCAAGGTCAACATCGTTAATTTAAAATACTGTATCTAGTATCTGCCTAGGCCTATTTTGGCCAGAAATTTATAATTGAGATGGTAAAATATAATGTTGATCAACATTTTCACCAGCATTATCCCTGGTTTTATCGAAAATACATTAAACGTTCTTTATGTTCAATCGGCATTCTTGAAGTTACTCGTTGGTAAATTGAAGTTTAGATAGGAAGGCCTACATCGCCATCACTTAAATTCTGCTTCACGGAGACAGAGATATTGGCTGCAGTGCCTTTTAAAATACAGAAAGAAACGGATTACATTACCTCGACAGCAAGTTCAAGTAGGTCTTCGTCGATTTGGTCATCAAAATAGGTGAAATCCATTCTTGGATGATGCTTTTCGGCTGAATGTTCTGGTCGTGAGACTAAAACCGGAAATGACTATACCCTACAACTTTTCCAAAACACGCGATTGGAAGATAAACGTAATCGCCTATTGTTGTCTGCGCAGTTTCCTATCCAGTCACTATTCGAGTATCTTTGGTAAAAGCTTTCTTAAGTAACTGCTTATATACTCGAGGCTGAGATAAGTTTCCAGCGGTATCGAAAGCACGTTTACCTCTACTTGTTTCAAAACATGCATAATTTTTCTTCCATTAAGAAGTGCAATTTTTTATTTATAAAAGGACAAAACATTTTTCGAAATGGCCCTGTTGTAGAACACATCTCTTTCTTGATGCTTTTAATCTTGGCAGTGGCGGGGTGGCTATGGCCAAGTCGATTTTTGCGCCCTATCTATATATTGCGGTTATATAAAAGCATGTGTTTCTAGAAGAGAAATCGATTTTTGCAACTTGAATCCAAAATTTTATAAATAGGTTTTGACTCAAAATGCGAATATGAATGGAAAAGTTATGTAATCCTAACATTTGACCTTCTCGATCGTGGTTTGGTAAAATATCAAGCTATTTTGAATTGGCTTATTTTCGAGAGTCGGCCTATTCTCAAGGAAATACGGTAGGCAAAACATAAAATGCTAATAAAAACACATTCTATTGAATTGCACTGATGTTTCATATGGGCTGGCGGCCCCTTGCAGGCGCGCAACCAGAAATTTCAGAGGGCAGGGGTCCAAGACACAAAAAGGGCACTAATTAAATTTCATTAAAGGTCCACCGGGGCATTTGTTTAGGTACGGCGAAAATATGAGCAGTTAGTAAATCTGTAAATATTGTACGCCAGACAAGGGAAACTGATCAATAGAGAAAAGTTGTGGTGTACGGTTTATTTTGTGGTGAGGTGTGATTTATTTTTTCCTTTTAATTTTAACTATGCATATGACTTCTTTCTGTCTGCCGTACAGTGCCGCCGAGAAGTTTAGGAGGCCCGAGGGAGGGGGGAAATGGAAAAAACAATGCCTCTTGCGAGCGAAGCGAGCAAAAATTTTGCCACCACACCCTTGCAAATAGCTTAAATTCACTAATTCGTTTAAGATGTTTTACTTTTTAATTGTAATTTTGTTACTTTTAATAAATTCCATTTAAAAACGGAATTCATTGCTTTGTGAGGCTCCCTAGACCTCGAGGCCCTAGGGCAGTTTGCCCCTTTGTCCCCCTCTCGGCGACCCTGCTGTCATCTCCTTTTCCCAGCGCCAGCTCACTTTTGAATAGCAGCCCATCATCTTCCATATCCGAAGACATTTTGCTCTTTGAAATATTATTATTGAATTCTTTGCTTCGCACTACAGTGGGAGTAGGTTGAACAGTTCTACGAGCCTTGCCTTCAGCTGGTTTCTGTCTCCAAGTCTTGCTTTCAGCTTATTTGTAATACTGACAAGGAACGGAACAGCTGAACATCAACTTTTTGTGCCATCTTTACTGCTTTCTAATACCAGTCCGCGAATATTTCTCTGCATTCGCTCGTTTCATGCAAAGGTCTTCTATGACCCTGTCAACTATGTGACAGGCTTGAAAAATGTCTTGGTCGAACCAACAAGCTCTTACAAGCTCTTACCAGAGGTCGTAGAGGCTCTATCCCGTTCAAAATCTTGTGCCTTTATTTTGGTTTTTGAGTCCCAGAACCATTCTTCTTCAAAGCCAGTGCGTGACGCATCTTAAAACACGCTGTAGAGTTGGGGCTTGAAGATATACTCTATTACTGCAACATGATGACGTTCGACCCAACAAGTGCGCGAAAGTTTGACTAAATCATTTATCTGTATTCCTGCGAGGTCCATTACATCTCCGGAGTGTGTCATTTACTGTATGACCAACCATTTTAGCGTAATAATCAAAATATTCAAGCAATTTTCCAAGAAAAAGGGCACTTTTCCCCTTTTGAGAAAAAGGGCAGGGGTCTGGACCCCCAGGACCCCCCCCCCCCGTAGTTGCGCGCCTGCCTTGAACTCGTTTATTATATCCTGAATACCAGCTTCAGAGTAAAATAACGTAGAGCAAATTTTTGTTTCGGGCTCCTTAGGTTTTTAACTAAAGGTAACCTTTGTCCATTTCGCCACTGCTTATGTGCGATTTTATCAGCCTAGTGTCATCGTATATATAATGTATGATATACAAACATGGTTCAAGTTTGTTATTCTTTAGTAGTTTTTAAATAGTAGTTCTCTCAACAACTTGAAAGTTTTCAAGCATTGAATCGCACTATTTGAATCTGACAGAGACAGCAGCGCACGAAATTGAATCTGGGTTTGTGCTAGTGTCAAGTTTAGAGGGAAAGGAGGACCCACCATGGTTGGGTCCGACGCGGAAGAAAATATTGAAATCAAGTCTTCTAGAATGGCTAAAAATGCATCTCCCAGGCTAATATTTAACAAATTACTACACCGCTCAGAATAGACAGTTCGACGATGCTTTAGAAAAAATTTGGGAGCGGAGGATTCATGCGTTGGATAAAGAAAGAAAGGGTGACCTTTGGTTCACATCGATGTTAATAACAAGAAGCTGCTGTATTGATTGCCAGGGTGCATTCAGTGTACTTAGGACTTAGGCCCGAAGATCTTTGGCGTACACTCAGGTTTTTGGCGTTCCGAGTGCAAACTAATAGAAAACATGTTTGGCATACGTAAAATCTTGAAAACACGAAAACATATGACACAAATGTTGATTGGGTCATGGCAGCGCAACATGCTTCGATTGTAGAATTACACGTTTTAATAGATTGTTCAGAGCAAGTTACAGCGAAGTAATCTACCCGTATACGATCAATTTTGATGTTCCTAGTCAAATATTACAAACAAACAATTTTGGCGCCCCCTTATCACCATTTGCGCCCCTATTCAGGGGGGCCATGGCCTCCCTAGCACCCCTGCCACCACGCCACTGAATCTTGGACCAATTATCATTTTTCAATACAAGGGGTCTTAGTGGAAAAACCCCCAAAATAGCTGTGACCTCCATAATAAATATTTGAAAGTCAAGGGGTGATCTAATAATAACAAGATAAAATAAAAGTTCTCTTTTTTATCTTGATCATAAAAAGTTTGGTCTTTCCTTGATATTTCACACAGTAGAAACTTTTTCAAGCATAATGGAAACTGTTACCTATCAAAACGTACAAGGAAACGATGCAAAGTTACTTAAAGTTTTTATTTGAATTTTTTCATTGATTCAACCTCAAAGAATCAATTTTTTCAACCTCTTGAACACTGGTTGGGCTGTTCATTGTTTTTTATCTTCTTTTGTAGTTAAAAATTGAAAATCAAAACTCGATAATACTAATGGTAGATACACATGGCCAGCGAAACCGGGGGCCGGGGGGCCATGTCCCCCTCACTTCTCTGCAGAGCAAAAAAAAATTTAGACCAAAAGTAGAAAGAAATGTACTATATCATTCCGTAAGTAACTGTGCCTAGTATTCCCTTAAATATGCCCTTTGCTCTAGCTTGGTTGTTATTTCTTTTCAAAATAAATCCCATATAAAATTGAATATTAGAATTTGTTCGAAGAATTGGGTCACTTTCCAAGTTGTTTTGGGCAAAACAAAGAAAAATCAGCCTCATCAAAACGCTTATACATAGGGCACTGATGATTTGTTCCAAGTCTAAACTCCACTCAGAACTTGAAAAACTAACTAAGATTTTTCTGGAGAACGGCTATCCAGAAGATGTTATTTCAGTTTACATTAAGGAGAAGATAGGAAGTTTCTCGGCTGACGTAAAATGTGGTCCTCAAAATGTGGACCACCCAAAGATTGGAGGATAGAATAAAACAACATGTTCCATCTAATATTAGAAACAAAACCCATCTACAAAGAGAACAGCCACCTCGGTCTTGCAAATCTAAAATTACAACTAAAACCTGCGATTCTGCTATCGGGCAGCATTTACTAGAAAACCCAGATTGTGCAAAAAACTATAATGGCGACATGTTTCGGATTATTGGTAAAGCCCGATCGTCGTTCCACCTAGCAGTTTTAGAATCTATCTCCATAAGCACGAAAAAACCGCTACTGTATAGACAAAAGGAGTTCGTTTTCACCTTAGGACTCCACTGGTAACATTTTAATAGGCAAGCGGCACTGATTGGTCAACCTATACAGTCATGTGCTCGTGTTTCTGATTGGCCTATTTCGATCCACAACTGGGTATATATATTTCTTAGCGTAGAGTTTTCGATCTATGTTCTGACGTTTTAAACTCTGAAGAGTGTCAGACGAAAAGCTTTAGTTTACTAAATGTTTGCTTTTTTCAAAGCCATTTATATGTTTAAAAGTTTAATTTAATACTTTGCCAGACCTTTCCTTTTTAAAGACAACATTAAAATAGACGAGACGAAACTTCATGTGCAGACAACGTAAAAGAGGAATAGATATTGTAAGGAGTCAGAGTATTGATTAAACAAAGCTTAAACATATTGCCTTGGATTTTCCTTCAGTTAAATTTCATTTTAGATACATTCTCTGGCCATCCCTGAGATCATATAATTCTAGACTTTTTCTTCCCGCCAACCATGGTGGCGGCTTTTCTGACCCCTTTCAAGACTTTGATATTTTGGCCCCTCCACATTCAAATACGTTTCGTCGGGCCTGATACGATACAATTTATACAGAATCGGTTTTTTGAAAAACTTCATAGTTGAATTTTCAAGCTTTTTAACCAGAATATTAAAGAAGTAATAATAAAAATACAAGAAATAAATTATGTAAATAAAATTATTGAATTTGGGTAATGCGATGCACAAAGATACATGTGAAAATCCCATCTGTATTGATTTATGAGAATAATAAGAAAATAGCCGACTTTTGTGTGGCTGTAAATTGATTTTCTGAGCCAAACTTAGTGTTTTTTATCCTTAACAGATGACTCTGGGTTTTCGTTGCATCAATCCACACGTAGCTTCGGGTTGACCACTAAATTCTTTTTACTTTAAGAATCAGAAACATTGTCAAATTATCCTTGCATTTGTTAGTGTAGGTAAAGAA